GATGGTGAGTCATATCTTCAGATAGTTTTGAAAGAGTGGAGCTTAGAAGAACAAGAAGAAAAACGCTTGTGGAATGGATCACTACTGTCCTGTTTCTGGATCGCTATATTTAAAGTTTTTACTGGGGGGCAGAAGAGGTGGCTCATCATGTCAAGGAGCTTGCTACCTGGACTGATGACATGTACTCCATCCCTGGTACCTGCATGGTAGAAGGAGAGAACTGAACCTGAACCCTGCAAGCTGCCCTCTGATCTACCCATGTGCTGAGGTGCAAACTCACACATGTGTGAACGCACACATACACAGGCAAACAAATAAATAAATAAACAATTCAATAAATATAATTTTAAATTTTAAAATTTGTATTACTTTTGAGAGAAAAATAATATATTAAAATTTGTGGTCTGCTGGAAAAAAATTTGGTTTGTCCAAGGTCCTTGTATCCCTGGAACAATGTGAGAGGATTCGTAGAGTAATGATGATTTGAACTCATCTTGAATCCCACAGAAAACAGTGCAGATATAGCTACAATAGAGTCCTATCACTATCCAAAGATTTTCTGAGTCTTCATTTTATGATCTCGTGTCTCTTCAGTTACATAATAATATGAGTTGACTGTGAAGTAAAATGCCAAAGTATGCAACTTTTCTAAAAGTTAGTTCATTAATATGTCCTTCACTTACCCTGTTTCTTACAGATGATCATTCTTGGCAGTTTAGGATGTTTTATTTTTAAAAAATTATCTACTCCTTCAACATGTTAGGGGATACTTAAATATAAATAAGAACAGATTTTAAAAAAATAAAAATTCTCTTGTTTTAGAGATTATAATACATCAAATTTTTTAACAGCAGCTACCAAATTAGTTCTACAACACAATAATCTTTATTATGACAGATTGTGGGGAACACTCATGTCTTTTTTAAAATTAAATATTTTTTAGTTTAATGTATATGTACTGTATTTACATCGCTTCTTCCTTCCTGCTCCCTCTTATCTCTCTGACCCCTTCCATAGCTACCTCCAGCCCCTGCTCTCTCTCTCTCTCTCTCAAATTCATGGCCTCTTTTTCTTTTGTTATTAATGTTGCCATGTAAAAAATGAACAAATGTATAGGTACAATCCACTAAGCCCATACAGTGTTGCTGCGTGTGTATGTTTCTAGGATTGACGACTTGGTATTAGATAACCAGTTAAAGAGCTCATCACTGGGGAAGACTGATTCTCCCTCTCTCTGGATAGCCATTAATTCCTTGTAGCTCTTCATGGAGGGGCGGAGCCCCATGAGATTTTCCCCATCCACATTGGCTTTTTAACTGGTGTTATCACTGTTTGGGTCTTAAATAAGACAGCCATATTGCTGAAATTTCATGGATACAACTTCCCTGTCATATATAGAAGACACAGTCTCACCGCAGATGTCCTGGTCCTCTGGCTTTTTCTACCCCACCTTCCATGTTCCCGGAGCCTTAGGTATAGAGGTTGTGTTGTATCATGGATCAACTGAGGCTGAGCTCCTCACAGTTGGTTATTCTTCGCATTGTGACAAGTTGTGGCTTTCTTTGGGGGGGGTCTCTGTCTCCTGTTAGCTGCAGGGAGGTGGTCTGAGAATATGGCTCCTCAACCAGCTGCACCAGTGTCACCTAGAACTTGCAGGTACAGATATGCTGGCTGGCCCCAGAGAGCCCAAACACGACTCTTGTGGCGGGGAGTGGTTACCCGTGTGTTTCAACACTCTTCAGGAGGTTATGATATACAGCAATGTTTCTGTGAGAGCACTCTGGGGGTGGGGGTGGGGCTCTCTGGTCCCATAGATTCATTCTAGCAGCCAGGATGGATGAGTAGGACAGACCATAGTAAGTTAAGAACAGGGTACCTTCTCTGTTGAGGGAAAGGGAATGGAGAGAAGATGGGATCTGATTCTTCTCTGCAGGTGACAGCTGTAGCCACAGAGACCTCTGGGATCCAGGAGGTCTATTTTCCTTAAAGGTTCTTTCTTCTGCTTACTGATTTCAGGTCCGCAGCCTTCAGTGGACGTGGAGCTGTACGGTAGAGCTGAGCAGGTGTGCAGGGCTTTCTCTGCCCTTGTGGATCAAGTCACCTTACCCAGCTCGGAGTGAAAAGGCATCCAAACTAAAAGGCCACAAGAACCTTTCTTCAAGATCCAAACTTAAAAGAATTAAACCTTGAGCATCTCTCTGAGTGGTTGACACGAGGGTATGAACTTGGGTTTGGGGTTATTTTCTTTAACCTCCCAACTTGTGTATCTTAGTTCTTCAACGTAGAGTTAAACTTTGAGGGCGAAGAAGTGCAGAGGAGGGGAAAGAGACCACACTAGCTGGAGTTTTCCTGCCTGGCCCACAGTCAGGACAAATCTCTCTCACCTGCCAGTCCCACAGCTACTCAGACCCGACCAAGTAAACACAGAGACACATATTGCTTACAAACTGTATGGCCGTGGCAGGCTTCTTGCTAGCTGTTCTTATAGCTTAAATTAATTCATTTCCATAAATCTATACCTTGCCATGTGCCTCGTGGCTTACCGGCATCTTCACATGCTGTTTGTCATCGCGGCAGCTGGCAGTGTCTCTCCGACTCAGCCTTCCACTTCCCAGCTTTATTCTCCTCCTTGTCCCGCCTATACTTCCTGCCTAGCCACTGGCCAATCAGTGTTTTATTTATTGACCAATCAGCAACACACTTGACATACAGACCATCCCACAGCAACACAGCAGCAGTAGATCAAATCCAGGTAGCTGAGTTTCCATCAGACAGCCACTCTATATATTTTGGTAGTAATCCTCAACTGTGTGATCCCCATGAATGTAAAAAACAACCTTCAAGTGTCATGGGTAGCACTGAATGAACAGCCCAGTTTTCTAGCTGATGTTCCTGTTAAACAGCAGGTTCAGCAAAGAACTAAGCACAGCACACACACACACACACACACACACACACACACACACACACACACACACACAGTGTATATAGAACTGCTGAAAACTGTTTCAAATCTGGGTTACCCCACTGTCATTTTTCTAGTTGGGATGCTGTAGTATAGGGATGCCATGCTCATGTTGGGAGAAATTGAACAAAAGATACATGGATGTCTTTGTACCGTTCCTTACAATCATATACATATCAACAAGCAGCTCAGATTTTTAAAAAGTGTTTCTTTCTAAAAACCCCACATGTGTGATGAGTTTTATCAAAGGACTTAGAGGGGTCCTCACCCCTGGGGTTGAATTGTTAGAGCTGATGTTTATATTGCTATCTAGAATAATACTTAACATCCTTTTACCGTTAGAACACACAGTTTCTAATTATCTTCTGTGCATTACTGTATTCAGTTCTCACGACAGACCTAAGGAGTCTTTAGCTTCTTTTATAAGAAAAAAAGAAGGCACAAAGAGGTCAAATGACTTCCAAAGTCTTTCAGCCGACACTTCATGCTGGATTTGAACCCTGTGCCTGGCTCTGTACTTGCCACTAATCTCTTATTTCTCTCAATAAATACTGCTGTGACTCCTACATCTTGGCCTTCAGTCCTTGTGACAGGAAGACTGATCAATCACTCCTAGGATTGCCTACGAAGGGCAGTAAGGCCCATGTTTAGGACTATGTTTTCTCTCAATCTAATCCCAATATGTGATTTTTTTCTTCTTTTCAGTCAACCATAATTTTTATTTAGCTTTTGCCACTGAATACTGTCACTTTCCTTCACGTATCATCCCAGAGTCTTCCTCATGAGCTTGATGAGCACACACCACAGCATAGGTCAGCACTCTATAGCTGCCCATTGCCTGTTTCGTACAGGCTATGAGCTAAAAGTGATGTGGTTTTTTGTTTTGTTTGTTTGTTTGTTTGTTTGTTTGTTTTTAATGGCTGAAAAGGACAAAAGACAAGACGATTTTGTGACACCTGAAGTTGTATGGATTCAAATTACAGGGTCCACATTTCACTGGACCACAACCTGCTGCGTTGAGCACTTACTGGATGGCAACCCTGCTATTTTGAACAGGTGTGGCTCTGTTTCCTCCAGTTCTACCTTGGCAGACAACCGTTATGGCAAGCAGCACAGGGCAGCCCACAGAACCAGTAACACTCATGTCCTGACCCTTTATGGAAAAAAAAAATCAATGTCTTAGTTAGGGTTCCTATTGCTGTGAAGAGACACCATGACCATGGCAACTCTTATAAAGGAACACATTTAGTTGGGGTGACTGGCTTACAGTTTCAGAGGTTGAGTCCATTATCATCATGGTGGGGCATGGCAGTATGCAGGCAGATGTGGTGCTGGAGAAGGAGCTTCGAGTCCTACATCTTAGAGGCAACAGGAAATGGTCTGTGACACTGGACAGTAGGTATCTTGAGCACATATGAGACCTCAAAGCCTGCCTCCACAGTGACACACTTCCTTCAATAAAACCACACCTACTCCACAAGGCCACACTTTCTAGTAATATATAGTGCCGCTCCCTTTGGGATTATGGGGGACAATTACCACAGTCAAAACACACACACACCCAAAACCCTGCCAGCTCCTGTTTGGAGCGCCACGATGAGGGAAGAAGAGAAAGCAGGGATGTTCTCCAAGAGCCACGGCCCTTCACTAGTTTGTAAAAGATAATGATCTTTTCAAAGTGTTTTCACGAATTTGATGAAACGCCTTAGAGAAAACAGGATAGATGCAAAGCACGAGCCTGTGTGTAAAAGTAGTCAGAGTGCTAGCTTCTTAATGTTCTCCTTCTCCCAGTCAACCAAAACCAAAGGCTGTCATCTCCCTCACTACCCCCAACAATGGCATCTCTCCTGCCATCCACCACCATGGCATCTCCCCACCCACCACCCACCATGGCATTTCCCTACCCACCACCCACCACCATGGCATCTCCTCACCCACCACCCACCATGGCATTTCCCTACCCACCACCCACCACCATGGCATCTCCTCACCCACCACCCACCATGGCATCTCCCCACTACCCACCACCATGGCATCTCCCCACCACCCACCACCAGCTCTTCTCAGGGGTCCATCCCATGTTGTTAAGACCCAGCTAATCCTCCAATGAAGCTGCATCTTCTGATAACCTTTAGACAACTTCTCTAGTTTGAGGAGGGCCCCAAACAGTGACACTTGCCCTGAGACTAATTGCTAATATATGTGAAATTCAAACTCCTTGTCAAGCATGTGTTTTAAGAGAAATATTAGAAATATGGGAATAATTTGAGGTAAAAATAGTGTCTTGTCTAGATCTCACAGGCAGTTGTTAATGGGGCTTTGCTGTGATGAAGCTCATTCAGGCCGATCGTTTTTCAAGGAAAAAAATATTGACAGGTTCTTCTTATATCACATCCACTTTCATTTTATTTTGCTTTTTGGTGCAAAGTATAACCACTTATAGAGCTTTAATATTTAATCAAACAGCAAATACATAATTGAAAGATAATTATGCTATCTTATTAGAGTTTGGACACGGTTCGTGCTAGTATTAAAGATTTAAATAAAGAGAATCCAATAACACCAGTTGGGAGCCAAAGCTTTTATTAATTTTGTTTTCATTAGATGAACGTTTTATTTCCCCCCGTGGTTTCTTCTTCATTCCGTATTCAAAACTATTTTCTCAGACAAGGTCGAGAGTCACAGACCATCAGTAAGTAATACCATTCATGCATGTCGTCCGTCCGTACCAGTTTCATAAGCAATGCCGCGGTCGGTTAATGGCTGGTGATGCACGTGGTTTATGCAAGCTAAATGTGCGTGGCCGTCTAGTTCATCAGTGATGCCAGGCCTCCCCAAGGACAGGAAGTTCTTTGGCTTCTGTAGACAGCGGAGTGCTCAGGAAGTAATCACCATATGAAGAGACTGGCTAGCAACCAAGACGCTGAAAAACGAAGTACTCTTAGAGAACGTGGCATGATATTCACCTCTGGACATTTACTTGACTTCAAATGCATAAATGATTGATAGGAAAATATTCTTTTTTTTTTTTTCTTTTCTTAATTCCAAGGCTCGAGTTAGCTCTGAAGGTAGCTTTGTTTTCTCTTTACTTCCGGCTTCTCTTTTCCACCAACCCTAGAGGCCCGCCTGCGCATGTGCACGCTTATCAACTCTCCAATCAGCTCTCTCTTCTTTAAGAAAGGGGTTCTTAAGAGCTGAGAATAGGCACCTGGAAGTAGAGAAAAGGAGCTTCATAAGGTCGCCACATTACACTGAGGTTAGTTGCTGTTCTTCAAGGGAAGAAAGATGTTTTTGTTACTCCATCTTCACGATTCTATATATAGGCAGAACATATATGTAAACTCGTCTTTGCGGTGTTTTCTGTCCTGTGAATTTTACTTCTATGGCCTGAGTTAAATAAATTACTGTCACTTATATAACATTTGTCAATTAAAATAGCGTGTGATTTTTAAAGTTTAAAGAGTCACTATATGTTTACTATAGAAACATCAAGCAAACATTTTAAACCTCCAATAACACAACCTTCCAGACAGGGTGTTGTCCTTATTCCAGAAACACTTACTCTGGGGTTTATTTAACTATTACCCTACTGTGGGCATTTGGATTATCTCCGTGGTTTTAATAAATAATATTGGGATGAAGAGTCTTGTGCCGCAGCACTGGCTGCTCCTCGTGACACTTCCTGACAATCAAGTCACAGATGGACGCTTGATGAGTATGCAACTTGGGGAACTCCGTACAGTAAAGCAGAGAACCAGACATTTGTGGATCTGTTCACACCAATGAAGCAGGGTCTTCTGTGTGTAATGTTTAAAAATAAGAACTATGGACATTTGTTAGGCACCTATCATAAACACCATAAGATTATATAAATCTAAATTTTAACTTTTCTCATTACAACTTCCCCCTCCCCCACAAGAAAAAACAGCTCACAATTGTTTGGGAGCATACAAACTGTCAGCCCTAGGAATGCAGACTGCCCCCCCCCCCACCTTTCTCCATCTTTCTTAGTGGCAAAGCAAAAATCTGTTGAAGAAAGTGTCAATTTTACACAGATAATATTGCACCTCAAAATCTTTTTATTTTCAGAGAAATCCTCATCTTCACAGGCTTATGAGTGAACCTGAAGTCTGCTGTTTTCTCTTTGGGAGTTATCAGTGTACTATCCTAAATCAATCAGTCTCTCGCCCTTGCCCTGCCCATCCCCTCACTCCCTCAGTCCCTCTCTTCCCTTCTCCTCTCCCCTCCTCCATCACCTCTCACCTCTTCTCTCCCTCTTGACTGCACCTTTCCAGAGTCATAACCTCATCAAAATTTGGAGATGGAACCTGGGTATATGGATCCTATTCAGGGCTTCCTTAAAAGGTATTAGTCAATATACAGCTATTATTAGTTAGTGTCTTTCTAGATTAAAAGTAATCTTTGGAATCTTTACTCACAACGTCATCTGCAGCCCTCAGACTTTTTAGAACTCTTATTCCCGGCCTCTTCTGTCCCTGTTTATCATTGCTATGAACAGCCATGGTGTCCCAGTCATTATTCAGCTCGGTCACCTGTTCTGGGGGTAAAGCTTTTCCAGTGTCTCCAGAATTAATAAACGCTTTTCATAGAGTCCCAGAACATTCGAACAAACAGAGAACAGGGAGAGACTTTGTGACCCATCTAATTCTTTCCATAGCCTCCTTTTTCTGGTGAAAATAGTAAGAATTAAATACACAAGTTAACTTTCCCAAGGTTCCATACTTATTTGATATCTTTCGTTTTCAGATCTGCTGATGCAATATTGACAAATGTTATATATTAAAAGCAGAATCTCGTGGATCACATAATTTAGCAAAACATAATTCACAGGAAGATTTCATAAATGGCTGTAAAGTAAATGTAAGAGCAAGAACCCTTTTGTGTATTACGTATGCAGTAATTTTAGTTATATCCTTATGTCCTAATGCTAGGATGTCCCTGCGAACTACAGGGACAAACACCTCTTCACCCCCTTTTTCATTGCAACTTCATAGCACTCCATCCCCAGGAACAAAAGCAAAATTCACTAGAGGATCTACCCTGGTACATTCAGAGCCAGCTTGAACCACTAGAGATTGAGTGAGGCTTCTTGAAAGGAAATCACAGTGTTCCTGTAACTATTTAACTTTCAAACATGTATCTCCTTGACCCGAGACCCCATCCTACTGTGATTAGACCAACCAAATGGAAAAATCTCATTTCCTGATCTTCAAACAATTGCTTGTGCAAAACATTAAAATAACTTTCATAGAGGGAAATGTTGGCTTCTGCAAATCAACTTCTCCTAAAGTTTGCAGACCAGCTGAGTCCATCTGAACTCTCCAGTGAAGAGCAGAAAGTGACTTCCAGAGCTGAAGTTTTAGAGGCATATTTTTTTTCATGTTCAGCTGAATACAATAATATTTCCTTCATTTATTCTGTAGACATGTCTCATAAATATGGGAAGTGGAGGCGGGATTTGAAAACAGTGGTGCCTTGAGAGGAACAGCTAACTCTGATGGGGTAGATGGGATCTTACACACCACCATCAGGGTCTTCAGAAGAAGAAAATATATGGTCCTTACTAATGGATGTTGATGCCTGGGCGGCTTCAGCTAGGTATGTTTTTAAAATACTGGTAACCAACCTTTAAAGATGGCCATCATGTATTTTCACTTCAGTAGCAAATCTGCTGAGAGAATATTTCATCTGAGAAGCAGAACTGGAGGAAGTTACTGTTACACCTACTTATATAAATAGTAGTAGAGGATTGTCTGGTTTCTTGGCTCAGTGAATCATGAGGAATTTTTAGTCACTGAGATTACAACAAACCATGTATTTTAGAAGCACCCTGGAAGAATCTTAGGAGAGAGCAGCTATGGAACTGTTATTGACAGATGTTTCTTCAACTGAACCATTTTAGAGACATACAACAGTGCTCACAATTAAACATTCACTAGTAAAGCTTAGTTATGCCTTGATTTTCCACCAGCACACAAATAATTCTAACTCCACCTAAACAGCCCTTGCTACTAGATTTGGAAACTTACGGATGGAAAAAGACACCCAAGAAGGAAGGAGGAAAAGTCTATGATCAGGTCTCAGGTGTCTCTCATAACTTACAGGGGCTCACTCGCTCAGACTCTAATGGAGTTAGATTATAAACTATATATATATATATATAAAACGTTTCTCCTAGACCTTAGAGAAGACTATATTTGAATTAGTATATGGTATTCACTGCGGTGAAAAAAGTCCCCCAACTTTCAAGAAGTTACAACTTACGCCGGGCGGTGGTGGCGCACGCCTTTAATCCCAGCACTCGGGAGGCAGAGCCAGGCGGATCTCTGTGAGTTCGAGGCCAGCCTGGGCTACCAAGTGAGTCCCAGGAAAGGCGCAAAGCTACACAGAGAAACAAGTTACAACTTACTAAAAATTAATTACTTAGTAGAAGTTTGTTACTTATTTGTGATTCATTCAAACAGCAACAAGGAATAAATATAGGGTCGTTGATATTTTTGCTCTTGGCGTCATCAATTAAGTGTCTCTCAAGATGCTCCTTCATTTGCATGAAAGTGATGGTTGGTTTTCTCTTTAAAGGGGGCAAGAATTCCCATGCTACAAATATCTCCCTGCCACCAGCTCCTACCCACATCTTATTATTTCCACACCAAAAAAAAAACACCAAGTTACATCAAGTTATCAATAAATAATAAATAAGTCTTCATTTTGGGGCAAGCCTTACATCTTTACATTGCAATTTATACATTGCCCCTCTCCCCCTTCCCTCCCTCTCTCTTTCTCCCTCCCCTCTCTCTCCCCCTTTCTCCCCCTCCCTCTCTCTCTCTCTCCCTCTCTCTCTCCATCTCTCCTCCTCTCTCTCCCTCTCTCTCTGTCCTCTCCCTCTCTCTTCCTCTCTCTCTGTCCCTCTCTCCCTCTCTCTTCCTCTCTCTCTCTCCCTCTCTCTCCCCCTATTTCTCCCCCTCTTCCTCTTCCCCTCTCCGTCTCTCTTCCTCTCTCTCTATCTCTCCCTTCCCCCTCTCTCCCTCCCCCTCCCTCTCTCTTTCTCTCTCTCCCTCTCTCTCTTTCTCCCTCTTCCTAATGACTTTTCACATGAAGTACTAGAGTGGACCCACTACATTGACATAAACAGCTATTCTGTTATTGAACTCTCCTGACATCCACCCCTTTAAAGGACTGTGTGTAATAATGGCTTCCCCTAGGGCCATTCTCTCTTCCTCACACATTAGCACATCGCACTTGATAGACAAATTCAACAGGCCAGGGCCATGCACCTTGTTTGATCCCCGAATGCAGCACTGTTGAGCTTTGCTTTTCTTTCTTTTCCTCTCCAGCCAGTTCCCTCCTTCCTAAGCCATGGTTCCTGGAGAGGACACAGTCTACGTAGATGTCCCAGAAGAGTTGGGCCAGATCCCAGAACAGTGCCCCATGCTTCAAGTTCTCAGATGACTTCAGGTAGATCATAAAATCCCAAAAGCCAGAAACAGTGTTAGAAACACGAGGCTTCCGCATTTCCAAGAGGAGCATTGAGGAGGACTCCCAGCATTGAGGATCAGCTTGGTTAAGAGCCAGTAGGTCTGTCTGACTGTGACAGAACACAGGAGACACACAGCACATTCCCACAATGAGCAGGGAGCAGGTGAGACTCAGAGGGCAGTGGATCCCTCTTCTGGTCCCAGGATCAGCCATGGTCCTGCAACTGTACACATGGAAATACATCAGTCCAGGCTTGTTTTCCACACCATAAGAGAAACGAGGTTGCCCCTGAGAGTCTCTGTCCAAGAAGAAACACACCACCATTACTAATTAGGAAGAGACTTCCCCTTCTTCCCATGTCACAAGCCTCATTCTCCCTAGATGACCTACTCCCAATCCAGGTTGTACACAACCAAGACAGCCAGGCTAAGAAGAATTCCCAAGATGTGCTCCTTGTGAGATGGCTAAGTGAAACTGTTTACCCTGGAATGCAGCTTAAAAGTATACTACACGAAAACTAAAATTCTGCCACATGGCTTTACTTTTTTATCTCTTAAATCCAGCCTTTTAAAAAAAAACACAAAACTACACTACATACAGTTAAGAATTTTATAGCTTTTGTCCTTATATGCTTTCATGCTCATAGTAACTCTTAGTTTTTAAAAGCTTTGAAAACTTACAAGACATTATAATAGAAATAAATCCGTCATTGATGGTTAACGTGTGGATGAATGTCTTTTGAAACTGAAGGACAAAGTAATGCTGATAAACATGTTGCAAGTCTAAATGCCATGCAATCCCGATAGGACTCTAATAAAGATAAGGCTTTCCAGTTTCTCTCAGCCTGCAATGAATCCCAAGAGTTTAAAGGACAATGGTTTGTCTCTCCCTCAAATTTTCTAGCTCTCGATGTCTATTGTAATAAAATCATCCGAACAGCCACATGTCACCTCTAACTGGTTCTTCCGTTCCCACTTCAGACAAGTGCAATGAGAAATTACACCCTTCAGATGATAGAAATTATAATTTCCTCCAAATTAAAAGTTGATCTGATTATTCCCCAACTACACAAAATGTGTATCGTGGTTAAGCAATTCAACATAAAGAAAGAAATATCGGAGGGAAACACACCCTGCTTACTTCCACATCACAATTAGTAATTATAACACCAGTAGACAGGCTCTTTCTTCTCTGCTCAGCGTCAGGACTTACGGAGGCACTGCTAAAGAAAGATTTCAGAACCTGTCTTTGAACATACCTAGCCTTGAAGGGTCGTGTTTGAAACAGCGGATCACTCAAAAATTTTAGTTTTATATCGTTTTCAGATTAGCTTTACTTGAAAAGATTGTATTTATTGAACTGAAATATCAAAGTCGCACCCAAAGGTTTTCTCTGTCCAAGTGTTGCCGCCTTGCTATCCAGGTGAAGTTTTTAGAAGGAGGAGGTGCTATCCGAGGTGCTGAAGTTGGCGTGTCCTGGGGCTTGTGCTAATAACCTAGCTGATAAAGACTTTTCAGAAAGGGGCTCCGTTTAGGAGCTTCCGAGGGGTGGGCTCGCTAACGCAGGAGTCCCCTTGTGCGCTCCGTTGAGAACCCAGTGCTGGCGAGTTTTGGTCCAGGCACCTGCTCTCGCTGCTTCACCCGCCCAGGCTGAGCCTCAGGGTCAGGATCTCGGCCCCCACTCACCTCGTCATCCCGCGCCTCTGCTGTGGGTCTGTAGGGCGCCGCTCTGCGCTCACCTGCACTCTCCGCGATCCCTCGAGTGCGCAGGAAGGACGCACTCAAGCTGCTCCTTAAGCAGGTGACTGTCCCCAGCTTCCGCGTCCTGGGTGCCAGCGTGCCTCTTCTTAAGCAGTGGGAGTGCTCGACTACGTCAAAGGACCTGCAAACTGCCACTGCCTCTCGCCCCCAAGTCCCGGTTCCAGTCTCCAGAACCCTCCTTGCTCCTCCCCCGCAGAGGTTTGGAGTTCAGAACCAGGGGGTTGGCTGCAGGTCCCCTCCCTAATCAGGGCCCACGCCCACCTTTTGTGTGTCCTGGCTCCCAGGACCTACCTACCTGGAGAGTCACAGCGCTGCAAAGTTGGTGCTCAGCTTGACTCCTGTCTGGGAGACAGTGGAGGCCCCAACCCGGCTTCTCACTAGTGCCTCGCCTGAGTTTCAAAGGGTGTGAGGGGAGGACTGCATGAGGTATTGGGGTCGGGAGAAGAAACAAGGGCAAATTCCAGCCAGACTGTGAATTTCTCCTATCCCCACTGAGGTCCTGGAGTGGATGGAGGCAAAGTACGGGAGGCTATGAACTCTTCTTCATCCTTGATCCAAGCTAGAGAGTCCTTGTTGTTTTTAGCCTGGGCTACTGAGGGTGTCCTTATTTTTCCCTCTCTGATTTCTCCCCAGAATCCTCGATCACCAAAAAGAAGCAGCTTGGATGGATTTTCTTTTGTTTTCCTTTCAGCTAATCAAGATCTTAGTCTCAAGATGAAGCCCATCACTTTCTCAAGGGCATTGCTGGGCATTGGCACCCACCTTAACTAAAACATTCCCAGATAAGGGCTCTCAGGTGAAGGGCCTTCCTTCCCATGTCTTTCCTAAAAGTGCCCAGCATCCTAAAAAACTCTTGTACTGTCTATTACCTGAAGGCTTTTGTGCCAACTTGACAGTATCCATGGTTACTTAGGGGTCTTACGGTGAGGTTTATTGAAGCCTCAGATAACTAGCCTCCTCCGGAGGTAACATTAAGAAAAGCTGTTTTCTTTCTCCCTCTGCATAAGCGTTTTGTAGCTTGATCTGCTTAAGGGGCCCCCTGGCAGTAGGATCAGGATCCATCCCTGGTGCATGAGCTGGCTTTTTAGAGCCTACTACCTATGGTGGAACACCTCACATAGCCTTGATGCAGGGGCAAGGGGCTTGGACCTGCCTCAACTAAATGTACCAGGCTCTGTTGACTCCCCATTGGAGGCCTTACCTTTTTGGAGGAGGGAGTGGGGTGGGTTGAGGGGAAAGGTTGGGGGACAGGAGGATGGAAGAGGGAGATCTGTGATTGGTATATAAAATGAGTTAAAAAAAACTTAATAAAAAATAAAAATAATAAATAAATAATATATCTTAAAGAAAAACAGAAGAGGAAGAAGAAGGAGGGGAAGGAAGAGGAGGAGAGGAAGAAGAAGAAGAAGAAGAAGAAGAAGAAGAAGAAGAAGAAGAAGAAGAAGAAGAAGAAGGAGAAGAAGAAGAAGAAGAAGAAGTCCAGTGGGGCTCTAAGTTTTCCCTTCTTCTCTCAACTGAACCAAGTATACTTCAGTTTCTGTCTTTCAACTGGGCAGATAATACCTGCTTCTGTTTGCCCCCAAGTAGGTGTGGAGATAAGACTGTGGTCTTGCTTTCTGGATATCAAGGAACGCACTACCTTTTAAACATCCTTACCAAAAAAGTGAACATTTTAGCATAGCCTGTGAACACAGACGTAGAGAGATCCTATGGAACCTAGCAAAGGGATCAGACTCTTGGTACTACTACCGTTCTAGGTAAAAGATGTTTTGATGGACTCTATAGGGAAAGCAAGTAAAAGACAGAGGTTAAAGTTAACACCAAGTTGGGGCCTAAATAATTGGAGGTTTGGAATTACCATTGGCTTAGAGAAGAAATTTGAAGAACAGATTTGGGAAAGTATGGGGTTGGGTGGGTCTTGCACATATTAAGGGTGAGATGAGTGACATCCAATGGAGATCCTATGTAGGCAGAGATATAGCAACTACAGAGAAACATATTAGATGGCTAAGAAGCCTGAATTTTGGATTTCATCAAATAGAGGCAATTGTTTAGACCATCAAAAATTATGGAAAGTAGGTTAATGATAGCCTGAGGAAAAACCTTGGGTAAGGTCAATGGTTAAGTAACTGAGAAACAGAGCTTAGAAGAGTCAGGGCAGTGTGTGAAACACTTGGGAGTTGATGAAAGAGATTTTCACCAAGTAGGAAGAAGCCAACTGAATCACACAGATTCAGTAAAAGATGCGAATAAAATGAAGGGAAGATGTTTCCACTTAATCTAAGAAAATAGAAGGTCATTGATGAGAATACTAAGAGTGATTTCATCTCAGTGTCAGTGGAGTTGTGGTGGGCAAAGGCAGGGATGGAAAGTTATTAAATGATAACAGTACCTGAGCCTTTCCCTATAGAATTTTGATACACAGAGAGAGGATGACAGGAATAGAGATTAGGGATTGGATCTTGGTCATAATCACAGCTGAGGTAGAGAACCCAATAGAGAAGCATCGTTGAGCATCGGGGAAGGGTGATTTAAAAATGTCAGAAATGAGAAGCAGAAGGTTAAGAGAAAAAAGAGGAGCCAACACCTACAAGAAAGGCAGACAGCTTGCATTCTGAAACAGGAAAGAAGAAAGGGTGCCTATGGGCATGGGTGTCATGGGTGATATGGAGGACAGGGACGAAGCAGCTGAGGGAGACAACTGACAGTCCCAATTTTTCTAGTGAAGGTCAAAAGTAAAGGAGGCAAGTGATAGGTAGAGAGTCCAGAGAGAATAGAAGAGCTCTGGAGTAACCATGGTAGGCAAGAATGGAAAGAAGGGCTGGGAGTGAAGACAGATTAAAAATCAAAAGCAAAGACTCAGATAATGTATGAGACCAGGAATTTGTAGTGTGCTACTTTGTATGCCTGAATAGTTTTTATGAGGCAGAATAACATAATTATGGCAATTATTCTCTGGATCCCAGTTGCCTGGGTTTGATCTGTGTGTCTTTCAAAGCTTGTCATAGCTCACCGACTCTCAGAAAAAAAAAAAAAACTTTTTTGTACACTTAACATGCCTGAGATCAGAATGTATCTGTCAACTGAAGCACCCTGGCAATTAGATTTGCAGCATTTCCTTTTACTTTTAAAAATAACAAGGTGTCTATGATTGATGGTATCTTTGAACTGATGCTACACCTGAAGAAATGTGATTAACCCCTATGAGACCATCCTCTTGCTTACAAAATGGGCAAAACTCTCATTCATGGTTTCCTGAGGATAGAATAAAATCATACACAGAAAACAGTTGGGAAGATGTTACATGTGGCAAAAATATGACAAATACTGGGGTTTTTCTTGTTCTCCTGGGGCGTTCAACTGACTGGAACAAAAAAGAAGAATGGTCATTATGACATGAAATCAGTCTGAAAATTCAGGAGAAGATGCTGATGGTAATAAAGATAAAGGGCGCTCGGGGATGTAAATGAGTTAGATAAAAAGAGGCAGGATAAAGAGAAAAAGACTGAGGCAATGAAGGAATCTAAGGGCTTCACTGAAGTAAGACAAGAGGGTATCAAAAGAGTGGAGAAGATGTTGGCCATCAGGGCCTTTGTGGTCAGGGATGGAGAGATTAGACTCCAATTGTACAGATGGAGTGACACTTTACTGAAAGAAAGGCCTAAGAAGAAGTGAATGTAAAGGCTGCTACCATTGCCTTCTACTTGCGTGTAAGTATGAAGGTAGTCAAACGGCCATCCTTGCTTAAAGACACTCAGACATTGCTCTCCCATCCAGATGGCCCCAAGCAGGTCTTGCCAATGGAAGCAAAGACTCTTCAAAGTAAAAATCTTAAGACACAGTGGTGGCTGCTCAGATACCTTTTTTTTCAATGTTATTACTTGACACTGGAACTTTTGAGTTTCAGTAAAACTTTTATACATCTACCCTAAAATAGAATTCATAGTTAAACATTCCTCGTAAATATAACTAAACAATTTGTACTTAAAAACGTAATTGTTGTTTGAATGTTTTTATTTAGACAAAGATCCTATCTATCACATACTCTATTACGATAAGTGTGTGTGTGTGTGTGTGTGTGTGTGTGTGTGTGTGTGTGTGTGTGTGTTTCTTTGTTTTTGTTTGTTTGTTTTCTAGACAAGGCAATGGGCAAAACTCTGTGTTTGTAGCCCTGGCTGTCCTAGAACTCACTCTGTAGACCAGGTTGGCCTCAAATTTAGAGATCTGCCTACCTCTGACTCTCAAGTGCTGAGATTAAAGGCATAAGCAACCACCACCCAGCTTATAATAAATATTTTATACTTCCCAATTTATCAAGAAAATTTGGAGAGATTTTTTAGATGGGAAAATGTATGACTTTTTAATCCCAAATGTGACTGTCGTAGTCATAATTGCTAGATAAACATGGTATCCCATTTCATGTAGTTAGCTTAGGGGAAACTGCCATCATACCATGTAAGTAAAAACTTTACCGTCATTGAACATATAGGTTGACATCTTCATGATGTCTTGTCCTAATGGTTTCAGTTTTACATACTAGAATCTCTCTACTCACATGTGGTTGGCACTTACCAATCACAAAATATCCTTTTATATATGTGGCCCTGTGTAATTCTAAGGAAGACATCATTTTGATCTTCCTTCTTTCCTGTTTTATTAGGTTACAATTTCTCTAGGGTTATTTAACTGGTAAACGTTAGAGTATGGCCTGTCTCCACTTAACTTTCTTCACTCTAGTTTATATGCCCTGACTAAGTGGTGTGCACCTACAGACACACACCCTGTCGCTCTCTCCTCTTCTTGATGTCTTTATCCTTATTTCTCTGTTTCTTCCCCAATACCAACTGGGAGGGAACACAAAGTGGTTCTGTAGACAGAGAAACATACATCTAAGTTCAGTTCACCACAACACCACTCTGGATTGTTAGAAAATATTGAAGAGGGGCTAGAGAGATGGGTCTTCAGTTAAAAAACACTGGCTGCTCTTCCAGAGGACTTAGGTTCAATTCCCAGCACCCACATTGAGGCTCAGTCTGTAAATCCAGTTCCCGGGGGCTCTGATGCCCTCTTCTGGCTTCTATGGGTATCACACACACAAGTGATACGTAAGATATACAAGCAAGCAAAATACTCATACAGATCATTTTTAAGAAAGAAATATTGAAGAAATGAAGGGTCATTTGAAATTATTTGCACTTAGGTGAATAACTGGTTTGTCTAGCTCTTGTTACCCAGGGTTGTTTGAGTTTTATGAAGTTGGAGCATACAGCTAAGAATGACTAGTTGAGAAGCAAATTGTAATTAGCTGAATGTGCCCCATGGGTAGATTTTCTGATTTTTGCCACTTGAAGCAATTTTCAAAGACATTAAAAGGGACTTCCGATTAATTTTAATGGAATCCAAGAGCGGTTATGTGGACAGTTTGCATCCTCAGCAGTACATTACGTTTGCAAATGATGGGGCAGTCTCTAAGAATGGGATGCTTCTTTAACACTTGGAATCAGAGAGTAAAACAAAAATTATTTCTCGCTCATTATTGTGTGCTTCTCCACCATTTGAAAATAGCAATAAACAGGAACAATTTCCTGGAAGGCCCATTGGGTTAAGTGGATGAGTCACTCCTTAAGTGTCATCCAATTCACAAGGACAAGTTGCAGTGCAGTAGTCAGATGATACTGGACATCAGTTCCAAAGGTGTGGAAGAGGAAAGTTACCCAGGGGTACAGGAATAGTTCATTCATAGATTCCTGACTGACCACGTCGAGACGCCTCAATGGTTACTGAATAAGAGCTGTGGTGCCACAGCTGTGGCAATAGGTGTTGCAGTGGTTTCTTTTCTGTGTGCATCCGTGAGAACTTAAATTTTTCTCCATTCTTTCCAGAAGCTCACAAAGCCCACAGGGACTCTCTGGCAGCTTTGTCTAGCCTTGGTTTTATTTATTCCAATGAGATCAGCAACTCAAGAGTAGTTATTACAAGTATCAACTTTTGAATTCATCCTGTCTTTTGGCCTCCTCATTTTCAAAGGACAACACAACTTAAGTGATTTTGTTGTTTAGACAGGGTCTCACTGTGTAACTCTGGGTGGCCCAGAACTCTACATGTAGAAACTACTGGCCTTGAACTCACAGAGATCCACCTATCTCTGCCTCTTGAGTGCTGGGATTAAAGGTGTGCCCCTGCATATCTACCCCTTAAGTGTTTTTGTTTCTTTTTTTTTTTTTTTTTTTTTTTTTTGGTTTTTCGAGACAGGGTTTCTCTGTGTAGCTTTGCGCCTTTTCCTGGAACTCACTTGTTAGCCCAGGCTGGCCTCGAACTCACAGAGATCCGCCTGGCTCTGCCTCCCGAGTGCTGGGATTAAAGGCGTGCGCCACCACCGCCCGGCTCGTGTTTTTGTTTCTTAATGTTGGTTTACCTAACAAGGCAACATGATAAGGGGTGAAGGTTTCATTAATAATAAGACTCTTTTTTCCCAAGAGTAATTAATAAAACACAATACAAAATCTCTACCTCCATACCATGTAGGATTCATAGCCTCAAAAAGAGTCAGGGGCCAAGAATAAGCATAGACTGCTGTGCAGAAGAAACATTTGTGAACAGACAAATGAGGACACACCTATGTGATGCTGTAGGAGACATCTTACGGCCTGAGCAGGGCTCCTAGGCTGAGGACCTCTTCCTTAGCTCCTGTGTGGCTAAGGATCTTTGTTCTATTCTCCTCAAGATTCCATGCAGTTTTATCCCACTTCTTCTAGCTACACAAGTATGTCTGCACCCCTCCCTGACCTTCCCATTCCTCCCAGAAAGTGAATGCCTTTGAGTGGGGACCATGTCTGTTTGTGTGTCAGTCTTGGTGGCAAACACCCAGATAATAATGGTATGTGTGCCTGAGTATGCACACCCTCATGAGTATGCATGTTTTTATATGTGCATGTGTGTGTGGGGGTGTCACTGAATGTGAGTGCGTAGGTGTTCCTCCATGTACACACACACACACACACACACACACACACACACACACACACACACATAGGGAGTCCATGTCCATTATTTCCCTTAATCACTCTCCACCTTATTTTTTGAGGCAGAATGTCTCATTGATCCCAGAGCTCATTGATTCAGCTAAACTGGCTTTCCAGCAAGCTTGGGCATCTACCTGCCTCTGCCCCTCCAGCACTGAGATTATAGATCAGTGTCTCATGCCAGCTTTTTATGTGGAAGCTGGTACTGAACTCAGGTCCTCACAATTGCATGATTGTATGGTAAGCACTTTACCAACTGAGCCTCCCGCTCAGCACAGATAATAATTTCTAAATGATGTTGACTGAATTCAGTTATGCAAGCAGCAACTTTTTTTTTATTAAGAGATTGTCTATTCATTTTACATATCAGCCACAGAGTCCTCTGTCCTCCCTCCTCCCACCCCCAGCCCTCCCTCTCAACCCACCCCCCATTCCCACCTCCTCCAAGGCAAGGACTCCCATGGGGAGTCAGCAGAGCCTGGTACACCCAGTTGAGGCAGATCCAAGCCCCTCCTCCCTGCACCAATGCTGCGCAAAGCCTCCCGCCATAGGCACTGGGCTCCAAAAAGCCGGCTCATGCACCAGGGATGGGTCCCATTCCTACCGCCTGGGGGTCCCCTAAACAGTTCAAACTAAACAACTGTCTCGCTTATCTAGAGGGCCTAGTCCAGTACCATGGGGGCTCCTCAGCTATTGGTCCACCGTTTATGTGTCTCCACTAGTTTGGCTAGTTGTCTCTGTACTTTTTCCACTCATGGACTCGATATCTCTTGCTCATAGAACCCCTCCTCTCTCTTGTCGATTGGACTTCTGGAGTTCCGTCTGGGACCAGGCTGTGGTCTCAGGCAGAACTCCAGGAGTCTAATCGATGATGAGCTCCGGGATTCCGATCGCTGCAATGTTTGGAAACTGAGCTTGGAATAGTGAGAGTAGTTGATCAACTTCGATGAATTTTCTTTCTTGTATCTTGGCAAAGGAATCAAAGTGTCAGTCACTTTTGTTTTTGCTTTGTTTTTTTTTTTTTTCTTCATTCAGTACTCAAGCTTTAATTATACTTTTTCTGAATGGGGATATTCCTTTGGTGTGGTTACAGGCATATCTTCTGAAATGGAATGGAATTGAAATATTGGAATGCTAAAAGTAGATGGCAGGTATGAACACACAAAGTTATTTCTCCCCAAATAAAAACATTTTATGTCCAATAGAAAGATTTAAGTTAAATCATCAAAACACAAGAAACATTCTACATCTAGTTTAAGATAATTTTTGTGACATGTTGTGTGAGCCAGGAGTGTCTTAATTCACAGAAAATCTGAACACGGTGCCTAAAGAGAAAGAGTTTGTTTCTCTTTTTAAGCCTGGAAGCTGCTGCAAGCCGCAAAAATATACAAAGTAGGATTTCAGCTGATTATGACAAAGCTAATACCTGGAAGAAGCCAAGGGCCTTCCAGAGGTCAAGCTGCGGCTCAAGGAGCCTTGGTGATATTTGGCTTTTGATTATCAGCTGTTTCCTGCTGAGTTTCTTGTGTGCTGTTGTAGCTTTTCTATCATTTATTGGGCACCATTTCCCCTCTCCTAAAGGAATATTTAGATAACCTTGTGCGCTGACAGTTTTGCACGGCCAGAACCCCAGTTCAAGCCTCCCTGTAATTATTGTCATTGGCAGCATCCGGCCAGGTCCATCCCCAGACGGAGGAAAGTACCTTATCAGAAACACCTCTGTACTCTCTTAAGCATCCTGACTACCTGTTTGAGAAGGTCTGGCGGATGTGCCAATTAAGCTTAACTTCCTCCTTTCCCAAATCTTACCTCTAGTTCCAGATCTCCCTTTAACTATCACCAGAAGCATCTAGCTGTACACAGGCCGCCTAGGGACCAAGCACACCTTCCCCCACCCTGCAGAAAAAAAGAAAAACGGCAGATAGCTTGGACAGATAGGAGCCACAGGAAAAAGAAGGCAGTTTTATTTTCTCCCATTTCTAGCAGCTTACAGACTCTTAACATTTTCTACCAATCACGTTTAAGACTATAGTTAAGCACATAAGATCTCTCTTCTTAGATAATTACCCAAATTTAGCCTTTAGTTAATTCATTTCTCCATTAGTCACTTCCCTTTTGGGTTGCAAATGATAATTAACAATTACTGCCCCTCTATGTGATTCTTATCACCCCTCCGTTTGACCCTGGAAGCCTGGCTTTGCACTGCCAAGGAATTACTGCTTGTAAGTGTGTAAATACCGGGACTCCCAGGGCACGGGAGAACCAAGAAGAAGATTTGGAAGAATAAATGACTGGACTAAGAGCTCGGTGTGCTGAGATTCTACTTTCAAAAACAGTCCTCGCCGTTCATAGTTTCTCTCTCCTGAGCCCCTGGGATGTATAATATTAAGGCTGGTTCCTCTGATATTATACGACAGGAAGCAAGTGGCTGTGGCTGTTAGTCCAGTGGCCCAAGGATGGATACCAGGGTCTGCATTTCTGTGATTCTCTTGACTTTCCTATCCAATTTAAATCAAGAAAGTAAAAGCATTTTCATAACTTCATCAATGGGCTTGGGCTTCCCATCCATGTGGTACAACTATAACACATGGTCGTTAATAAACATAAGCATGTCAGGAGGGTAAGAGCTCCAAATGGGAGCGGTAAAGCATGTTGTTTGGGGACTTGGGAATAACTGTTTCCAGTTCACAAGGCAAACCCCACAAGACAATGTGAGCTAATTGGAAACGACGCAACCAACAAAGCTCAAGTCTAAGTCTAAGTTAGGACAATTCTTTTGTTGCTGATCCAGCTCTTAGATCACAATTTCCCTGATCCTAAAGGTGGAACTTTTCTTATTCTTGAAATCCTCCTGCCTTGGCCCCCCCTGGGTTTCAGGATTACAGGCACAGGCCATCGTTTACATTTCAAATAAATAAATGAAGAGGAGGAGGAAGAGAAGGAGAAAAAAGTCAATGCCGTTTACAGAAGGTCCTCAGATTGTGTTCTTTATCCCCCACATAAAATAGATGAGGGAAAAACTCACTCACTGAAAATAGAATTTTATTATTTAGGACATCCTCCATTAGAATATGTAGCTATCTAACTAGTGTTAATAAAACAGGGGTGGGGACAGAAATGCATCACACAGTGCCCTAAGCCCCTGCCCCTCATGGGATGACAGCAGTCACTATGGATTCCCTGTAGTCATCTAAGCCATGGCTGCTTCTCTGGAGTGGTTAGGACAGTGAGCAAGGTAGTCCATCCACATGCCTTTGTAAGTCAGAGGCTATTGATATGACTCAGTACTCACTCACTGCTTCCAAACATGTCCTCTGCTGAGTGTCAGCAAAGGGCACCGAGGTAAGTCTTAAATTACTGATGAATCCACAAGCTAGCAGAGAACTCAGCTTAAAAAAAGAAAGTGCAAAGAACAGGGCCACACAATGGAGTGACACACACCCGTACCAAAGTAATTTATTTGTTCAATATTTTATCTGCGTGTGCAGAGAGACGGTGGTATTCACCATCGCAGACATAAGAGGATGCGTCAATAGTCAAGAGAGGCAAAGTCTTTGTTCTTGCGGGGGAAGCCAACTTTACTTAAGTAAAAAATCAATAAGAACACGTAAAAGGGGACAAAGAGAGAGATGAAGGCCGTAAAATCATGGGCAGCATTATGATAGAGATCAAGGGGGAAAATGGGGCTGTGAAAGCAAAACCAAGTTCAGTCCTTCCAACTTTTTTAGATCCCCATGCTTTGAAACTGCATCAAGATTCATTTGAACACAATCGCAGTCCCTTGTTCTTATCAAATTGACTGTGTCAGCCAGATTTCAAGTGTCATTAGACATACATATCTGAAACCACAGAAATGTCCCCAAAGTATGTGGTGAACACAGGCCTCTCTAGCATCTGCCTCTCCGTAGCCCAGCCCCTGTCCTGCAGCCCAGCCCCTGTCCTACATCCCCCCGCCACACACAAACATTCATGAAAAACTCAGCCACACATAGGGTGACCCACCTCACCTGAAAGCCGGAAGCTCCTAAAAAAGAGTACATTTCTCCTTTTAGGCTCCTGCTCCTGATGTAGCTGCACTTCCTGTCTCTCTTAGTTTCTCTATGCCGACAGAAGCAACCTAAGAAAGAAAGGGGTTTTTTTTGGCTTACAGCTCAAGGTTACAGTCTGTCACA